AGTGAAACTGAAAATGTTTTCCACCGTCACCCTGAGAAATTCCTTCCCTCACAAGCCTTATAAAATTCTCCATTCAGGAGCCGTGTACAACCTTTTTCTTCAGAATAATTTCTGCTCACCTTCCTCCCCTGGGAGGCTTGAACAAGGTTTAAGAACAGGGCCATTATGAAGCTGCTGGCCAAGATGTGGGGTGAGATATTAGAATTACAGAATCACAGAACAGCCTGGGTTGGAAGGGATCTTGAGGATCATCTCATTCCACCCCTCATTCCACCAGCCCAGGTTGCTCCAAGCCCCGTCCAACCTGGCCTTGGACACTTCCAGGGATCCAGGGACAGCCACAGCTTCTCTGGGCAACCTGTGCCAGGGCCTCGCCCCCCTCACAGGGAAGATTTCTTTTCCAATATCTAATCTAAACTGCATTTGAAGTCAGTTGAGTTTTGCCTCAAATGATTTGCATCTTTTGTCTGCTCTGGCACCCACATCCCATTCTGCTTCCAATTTTTAGGTGCAGCATTTCCATTTCTACTTTTCCTCCTCCACCTTACCATGTAAAGGATTTGCCTGTGGATACCCCAAGGGTTGCCAAATTTCTCCAGTTTCCTGTAGTACGTTGCCATCCCAGATGATTCTGTAGCCATGAGGTTTAAGAATGAACTGGCTTAATAATTCACAGCCAAGGGAGCACTTCTGACAGACAGACATTGCTGTAGAGAACTGGAGAGCACAAATACCACATCTGTATTTAAACATATGCCTGAGGCTATGATCCAAAAGCTCACAAACCAGCAACCTTTACATCTATATCTGGGAAAAAACCCAGTTTGAGTGATCGTGAAGAACAGAATATTACGAGCTCAATTTTCCACAAAACTACTGCAAGTGGGAAGATAAAATTTCGTCTTTGGAAATCAATCCTAATGCCTTCCAGTTTTTTTGATTGGAAGAGATGAATGAAGTATGAACCAGAGATATTTGATATTGGGGGTTACTGACTATATTCAGGCCAGAACATGAGGAATTGCAGAGGGAACTATTTAGAGTAAAGGGCAAGAAGAAGCTCAAAGCTGGTAAGATGAAATTAAAAAAAAGAGGAAAAAAAAAAGTCATGGAGATGGTCAGAGCTCCCAGGGTATTAAAAAGGTAACATCAGCTAAAGAGAGAGGGCTTAGTGACATTATAAACATGTCAGTGAAGATCACAATTAGGAGGAAAGACAAACACATGTAGATAGATAGGGAATGGATGATAAATAAGAATTAATTAGCATGTACAGACCTAAATTAGGGATGCAGTTACAATAAAAGAATATGATGGCACCACAATTAGATACAGAAATGTTAGGGGTGCATTGCTAATTTACAATTCCCCAGTTCACAGCCTCCTCTCCTCACTGTGGACGCTTCATCAAGAAACCTTAAAGCAACAGACAATCCACTAAACAATTTGAAATGAAGACAGGCAGGTAAGAACATTATCCCCATGTCCTGAAGAGGTATAGAGCTATTAAGTGACTTAAATCTGTGCAAAAAGCCCATGGAGGACATGGAATTAAGGCATCTCAGCCTCTGAGTTCCAGCCCAGCAATCTGATCCTGACTAATCTTCATTGTAAAGACAACAGCGCCCTAAGAATTCTCTTCAAATCCTGGTTTCCAAACCCAGAGTTCAGAGGGCGAGGATTTAAAAAGCTAAAACTCTGCCTAAGACTATTTGCTTTTACAAGGGAGAAAAATATTTCATCAAAAAATAGTCAGGAAATAAATATATTTGGGAAGAGTTTGCAATCTTAAGGTAAAAATGCTGATGCAGACTCTCAGAAATACAAGCTTGGCCTGCAGCACCTCATTTTACAAAGACAACTAACTAAAAATAAACTTCTGGCAGGTTTATTAGCCCAGCACTTCCATGGCTGTTCACACCCCCAGTTTTCCATTCCCTCTCTCCCGTGGCTCTGGCAGAGCATCCTGGCAGCTCCTCTCCCAGGTAGGTAATCCCAGGTAGGAGAGCTGCCAACTCCTAACCCAAGGATGTAACACAAGACCTGAGGGGGCACTGTTTGTGAGAGAATAGGCTGTGCTCATTATTTAATTACCAGTCAAGTTACCTGCCTGGAGAATATTAAAATGCCAGAGTAATTGTGACATTGAGACTCAGTCAGAGCCAGCTCCTTTCTGCTGATCACCCCAAGAGGTGCCTCCTGAGGGTGGCACAGAAGCTTTAAGAGAGGCAGGGGATTGCAGGGAAATGACTCATTAACCTAATTAATGAAGCCAGTCAAGTTCAACCCCTGGTTTTGATGGAGCAACCAGGCCAACAAGCAGCATCTGGGGGAGTTCATATCTGCTTTTCTCTGGTATCCTGGGACCACACAAAACATTTTGAACCACTTTCAGGGACTTCTCTCAGTAGCTCGGGGAGTTCAATCATTTGGTGTCACCTCCACCCCCCCAGAGATCCCTCAGAGAACAGCCCTGAGCTCCTCCAGGCCAGATGGAGTGACCACCTTGGATGCCTCCAGCTGCTCTTCTCCAGTGGGCTGGAAACTGTGCCAGGGCAGCCCCAGAACCATCAGGTGGCCCGTGGTTTTCTGCAGTTAAGGCAAACTGCCTGGAGCAGCTCTGATCTGGATTTCAGGGCACACAGTGGCCCAGCTGCTTTCCTGGCACCCATCACCCTGCACCCAGCTCCTCCAGTCCCATCTCCTCCCTTCTCACTGCAGAAAGAGTCTAGCACCTCTGAAACCACTGAGCACAGCAAGCTGCTGCTGCTATCACACCACACGAAGAGAAAGGGATGCTGGAAGGCTCTCTGACACAAAATACATTTATTCTCCTTTTAGAAGCGTATTTTTTCCTTTGGGGAAAGGTGCAAGCAAGACTTCAGCTGCAAACCAAGCATTTTGTTCTCCTGGAGAGCACAGCAGCAATGATTTATGTATTATTAAAATGGCTACATATGTTCTTTGCAGCACTGCTCGCTCGACTGGTATCTGGGTTTCTGCTCCCTGCCTCCAAATTTTGGTGCTTTTCTCAAAGTTCTGGAATGACAGTCACATTTTTGTAGACCAGAGCTCAAAAATAACACTAAAGGCTTTCTGACATCATCATTTCCAAGGTGTTCTTTGAGCATATTATCATAATAAAGGGGCAATCCATACATGTCCAACAGAACTGTAGAGAGATCAGTTATTTTCACACCCTCACATGTCTGTGTGGTGGCCCTAGAAGGTGGCCTATGGCTCTCCTGTCACCACAGCTCAGTTGTTCAGGTGTTTTGTTTTAGTCAAAAGCCCCATCAAAGCCAGCGTGCCAGGAGCTAAGTGAGTAATGGAAAAGTCATTTTCCTCATTTCTCTGACAGAAAAGGCCTCTGTTTGGGCAGCATTATCTGCAGCCAATTATTCTGCTCTTTCCAGCAGTGCTCCAGGGAGCTGTAGCACTTCTCCACAGGGCTCAGCAGCTGTTCATTAGGTTGGTCTCCCAGCTCCCCTTGCTTGCTTAATGCTCACCCTGCAGTGCCAGATGACAGGAGCTGAACGTGCTCTCTGTTGCTCTGTGTTATCCCCAGTAGGGCTTTGGAACCTGTCCCAGCCAGGGAATGAGCAGAGAGCTTTGATTCTTGGATTACGACACAAAATGCCACAATTCATCACAACGAAGGAAAGGTGGCACACTGAGAATGCCCCCTTGGGGCAAAGCTCCAGCACCACCTGTGCACTGGGACACTGCAGCTGGAAGCTGAAAAACATCACTTCATTAATATATTTTAGCAGGAACCTGCACTATTCCCTTTGATACACATCTTTCCTTTGTAAGGACTCCCTGGTTTGTCTCTAAAACCCCCATATCCCTGACCTGCCTGCACTGGGATTACCAGTAGGAGCATCACAAATTTGGGTGGTCTCTCTCATCTGAGCAACATTTACAGCCAAGGAACATTCCTCAGAGGAGGATTTTGGCTGTGCAAGGTGGGAGAAGTCTGCTCATTGCCAGCATTCTCTTCCATCAGAGGGGAGAGCACTAGCCGTGCAAAAGCTCCGGTGGGAAGGGTCCCAGCAGTCCTTTTCTCCCTTGAAACTGTGCTTAAATATTCCCCAATAATTAAATAAGCTTATGACTCTTAATACATTTGCAGTTCCTTGAAGGAAAAAGGTGTGCAGAGGCCTTGATCCACTAGATTTTTTTATGTTTTCCTGTAGAGGTCTCAATCTTATCTTCAGGTTTTCCTCAGAACACGGCTGTGGATACCCTTTCCCTCCGAGTTAAATAATAATTCAGAGGGGTAGTTTGGTGCCTGCTTCCTAAACCATTTCATCTATTGGACCCCAAAGGTCCTCCCAGGCACCAGAGCTGGTCCCACTGAGGGCATGTTCTGCTGCCAGTTGGTGTTAAGCCTCTCCATCCTCACTGGTTCTGCTTCACATCGTGTGTTCCCCGGCTGAGGTTTCAGACTGTTGGGACGTAGGAGCAATCATTTATCAATTATTTATCTCTGCCTAAGACAAACTTTTCAGTATGACTTAAGGATTTGACAGGATTTCTATTTCAGTATCCTGTGCATCAGCTCTTACACCACCACATTACTGCCAGGGGGAATCCCAGAGCTGGGAGTGCTCAGGAGGAGAGGGGCTGCAAGGTTCACACTCCCCAAATATCCACACTGACAGCATGTGCATTATGGCATTTCTTTAGGAATATATATATATGTATATAGATAGATATAAAATATATATATTATATAGATATATATAATTAGATAGATAGATAGATAGATAGATAGATAGATATAAAATTAGGATTTCCCCCGAGAGGCCTTAATAAATTTTCATTTATTAAGGAAACAAGTACGTTGAACTGTCGTGGAATCTCTCTGCACAGGAGCTGACAGCGCAGATTTCTTGGAAGTGTCACATTCAGAGCAAATTAACACACAATTAAAAGCCAGTTTGGAGACAACTCTCTCACAGGCACCAAGCACTGGCTGTGACACAGAACATGAGACATCAGGAAGCACATTTCTGTTTATTCGCCTTTCTTCAAGAACTCTCACTCACCATCAGGCCAAGGAGTGCATACAAGATGTACAAGAGAAAGATTAAAAGAGACTTCTTTATCACTGTATTCTGTGGTAATAAAGGCCCACAGCCTCTGGGGTTTGTTTGGTTGGTTTGCTTTTTTTTTTTAAAGGATATGTTTTCACCCTGGCTGAGGTGTTACAGTTCAGAGAACAACCCGTTGTCTGCAGGAAATCTCTTTAGAAAATGAAAAGTGAGCACAGCTATTTGCTGGGCTGTTTTACTGAACAAACACTGCCAGCTGCTCTGAGAGCATTTTACCAGACACTTGCCAGCTCCTGAACCCCCCAAGTTCATAAAGACAACGGGAAATCCGACTGCAGAGTGACAGGGAGAAGCGGTCGGAGTTTCTCCCCTTCTCACAGCAGATTCCTGCCTGCTGCAAACTCGTGTTTCTTCACTTCAGCAGAGCTGTGGGTGACCTACAGCAGAGGTTCTGCCCTGGAACAAACAGCTGACTCCTCGTGTTAGTAACTTCCATATATAATACTAAAACCCAAGGTTTGTCTCCCGGCCTCCTTCACATGATGCCCTGCCTGTTCACGTCCACGTTGTACGCCGAGGGATTGGCGCAGCCCCGGCCGAAATCGATAAAAATGCCTTCGGAATCCGAGTCGATCGACTCCAAAATCTGATCCACTATGTTCTCGGGGCTGGAAGAGGGAACTGGAATCAAGGAAGGGTCTCTGTCCAGCTCGAAAGGCCTGTGTGGGTCGTCCATGGGGCGGAAGAGTCCTTTCTGCTGCTCGGCCGCGCCGAGCTTGCCGGAGCACTGCCCCGAGCCGGCGCCGGGCCGCTCCTGCTCCCCGGACAGGGAGCTCTTGGTGGTCGTCACGGAGCTCTTGGAGCCGTTGTCCATGATGGTGGTGAGGTTGGAGTAGCCCTGGAGCTCGAGGCAGGAGGTCATTTCGGACACGGAGTGCCGGCGGATGCCGGTGCCGTTGGAGGCCATGCCCTCGGTCTCGTACTCGGCCACGGGCGTCAGCAGAGGGTTGTTGTAGCTCTTGGACCTCACCACGGGGTTCTTGGCCAGCACGTCGCCCGACTTGGAGCGCCTGAAGAACCTCTTCTCTGCGAACACAGGAACACCCAGAGTCACACCCACAAACTCTACTTTTATAGCTCTAATAACTACGAGTGTTCAAAATTCATGAGCTTTTCCTGAATGACAGAAACTTTTACACAAGAACACATTGCACTGGTTCTGTAGGTCCACAGGCTTCAGATTTCCTGCTTTTCTTCAGCACACTGAAGCCCCCAAACCTATCTTTACAAATAACAGCTGAAATTCGCTTATATTTACACAACTTTACAACAGTAAATATTGTGGGAGAGGTGACATAAAATCGTAAATATTTTCTTTACACAAGAGCAGAAAGTGCAGTTCTGCTCTTGTTCAGGCTCTAATCACTCATTTCCGGCAGCTGAACTTTAAGTCTTCCACCTACCCTGGGAAAATCAAGTCTCTTTAAATTTGGGGCAACGAGGATTGAGACAGGCAGTCTTTCTATTGACTCTGGAAAAATTAGATTCAAAGCATCATTCAGAGATCACACGTGGGGAGAGCACCAGGAGTGTTTGGGAATGTTAACTGGAGGGCAATGCCCACTGAAACCTATTTTTGGAGAAAAAAACCTGCACTCAAGCCAGTGACTGCCCGAACGCTGCTGTTAAGCAAGTGGGATTTTTCCAAAAAATAGACAGCAGGTGGCAGCACGGGAGCACAGAGCTCCTTCTCCAGCGGTGGTTTAGGGCTGGAGTGCTCTAAAAATCACCACCAAGCAAACTTTGTACTCAGACCCACCCGTGCCAACAAAAGAGAAAGTGGTGTGAATAATAGGTCTTCTTCTTTGGAAGCTTTCTTTTTGCTTCTCTCATTTTGCCAATCCATGAAAGGGGCATGCCTGGAGCAAGGGATCAAAACACCCTCTGAAGTCAACCACAGGCACTGCAAATACACTGTCTGCTTTTAAATCAGGATGCTGGCACATGTTCCCTGCAAACCATGCAACTTCCTTTACAAATGCCAGTCTCATAAAATTATATGTAATTATGTGCTTATCTAGACACAAAATCCAATCATATGCTGTACTACTAAAAAAGCCAGTTTCTGTACTTAAAACTGTATTTTGCAGTTGTGCCTGTGACAGCAGTGAAACATCTGAACCAAGTTCACTTTTGGACTTTTTCTGTGTTAGGAGTCTGCCCTGGCAAACAGAGAAGGTTTCCTGGGGCTGCCCTGCCACAGGAACTCTGGCTTTTGGTCACAACATGTCACGTTGGACAGAAGTGGATGCATCAGTTTAAAAGCAGCAGAGGCTCCAGCCCTCAGCTTCCTTGGATCCAGGCTCAGTGACTGCAGTCAGACCTGTTCAAGGGTTCTGCTACAGCTCCACACCCCAGACCACAGCAAGAGGCCCACCAGCACCTTCCTATCTTCTGCAGTCATGTAATACAACATTTATTTTCTAACAGTTCACTTCACTGGTGTTTTATTCTCTTTGGGCGAGTTTTTTTCTGTCCTGACATACAAAAGCTTGTGTTGAGAAAACTGTCAATTTGGGGCTCCATTTAAATGCTTGTGGCATTTTAATGCCAAGCAATGAATACAAAGTAGTAATTCTGAACCATTTTCCATAAATAACTGGCCTCTATTTATTCACCTAAAAGTGATTTGTTTCTTAAACTGCAACACAACCACTTTTCCACTCAGCTTCAAGGGAAAATCAACTTCCTTACTGACCGTTTCTGACAAGCAAACAGATTAAATTGACTGCACAGAAAACACACAATTGAACTTATTTTCCCCTCTGTTTGCTCTATTCAAGCAGGCCATCACAGCATTTACATTAAAATACTCAGGTACTACCATTTACACTGGTTGTATCCCCCTTGCATTTTCAACAGACCCAATCCCTATGGGGGATATTTGAAAGGCCTTCCTTCATGTTGGCCAAATCTTGCCTTCCCAGAAGTCACAGGATGCTTCAGAGCTCGAAGAATCACAGAAAATAAGCTGGAGGGGACTCCAGAAGGTTCTGCCTCGGCCTCTGCCCCACGTTTACCCCCCCTGCTCCTTATGGATGTTGATGTAGGTGACGTGTATAAAGTGCTTCACAGAGAAGATTTAACAGCCTCCAGAGGCAGTTCAGGTGACATTAGAGATTTTTCCTTCCATGTAACCTCAATTTTCCCTGCTACGTGTGGCTCACTCTATTTTTCTCACCTCCACTGGGATGGAGAACAACTTATTACCTTCTACTCTGCAGAAAGCTTTTACCTGTTTGAAGGCTTATGCATTAGTCTGCTCTAAGATAAATCCCTGCTCTCTTCCCTAATTTTAAGAGCCTTGTAGGATCTTTGTGTACTAATGAACACCAATGAACCACCGAGCACTTCAGAGGTGGCTTCTTGCTTCTTCCTCTCCCTGTCCATAAAACACCCCGTGTTAAAGCTGTCTTGTTAAAAGGCAGAATGGAAATGCTGAACACACTCTAGATTCACTTTTACTGATTTTTATTACTGAGCACTGCTAGGATGATCTGTTTTCATCTTCTGCCGCCGGCAAGTTTCACTGTGACTCTGCACATTGCGAAGGGCAGGGGCGTAGAAAAGGAGCCTGACTGCCTCCTGTGAGTGCTGCAAGGTGTCTCTTGTGAGGATCCTGGCCCTGTACAGAGCGAGGTTTTGGGGAAGCCTCTGTGCTGTGCCAGAGGGAGCCCAGATTCTTACCCAGGATGCAGGAAGAGTGCGTGAAGGGTCCGTCGCTGGAGTACAGACCGTACGTGCCCAGGTAAGGAGACACGACCTTCTGGATCAGGGATTCCAGCTTCAAGTAATCTTCAGTCACACCTTTCGACTCATGGACCCCCTGAAAAAGAGAAAACACCCAGGATGAGCCCCCTCCAGCCACAAGCTTTCCTGGCTCACCGGGGTAAGCATTTTCACTGAGCCATGGCCAAGGTGCACTGTGGTGTGATCTGGGTTTGTTCCCACAGCTGATTCCTCTCACTGCAAAGCCAAGAGATGTGAGCCAGGCCAGAGCTATTTCCAGGGCATTTTAATCCAGGAAGGTGCATCCTCCTTAGTGCAAAGGCACTCAGGGAGGATGGAGGGTCTGGTCCAGTGAAGAGGAATTAGAAACATCCCAGGACTTTTTGCTCATTTACACTGGTTGTATCCCTCCTGCATTTTCAACAGACTGAATCGCTATGGGGGATATTCAAAAGGCCTTCCTTCATCTTGGCCAAATCTTGCCTTCACAGAAGTCACAGGATGCTTCAGAGCTCAAAGAATCATAGAAAATAAGCTGGAGAGGACTCAACTCCTGAACAACAGCGTCTGGTACCACAGGGTGTCACTGCCACCTCAGCCACACCAGCAGCATTAAGGAAAAGGTGAAACTGAGACCCTCGGAATACCCTCCAGGGTATTTTCAACAATGAATATTTACAGTGAAGAAGCTTCTTCTCCTTCCTCATCCCTTCCCAGGCAAAAGTCACATTATAATTAGCATGGTAAGAGTCACCCACAGGGAAAATCTTTGGCCTTTAGCTGTTAACTCTGCACTTCCACCCACAAGTGGGCTTGTAAGGCTGCAGAGGTGATGGAAAAGCCCTGCAGAGCTGTTATTCTCCCTTTGTGTGCTCTTGCACTGTCTGAGCAGAGCCCTGCACGCTCACGTGCAGGATTCCTCCTGCAACACAGAGCAAATTCACATCTTAGTGTGTTGCTATGGGGCCATATGCTTGACACATCATGTTGCAGAATTTAAGATCCTAAATGCCACGCTCAGCAAGAGCTCTGCTTGAATTTTGCAGAATCCCAGATTTCATAACATGCCCCTGGAATCACTGTAAGAAGAAAACACGCTGGGATGAAAGCCTCCAGAAAGCAATATGCAGATCAAGTGAGTAAAATTGCAACACTTCCTTCGGCATGTGAAAGGATCCTGACGTTCAGGATGTATTCACAGTTCAGTATGACTCATTAACCAGAGTCTGGGGTGACTACCAGAAGTGTTTGTGAATGGCTGACTTCACCCCTCGGCTGCTCGTCGCTTCAGAAAAGTTTATGAATGGAAAATGAGAATCTGAATTTGGACACAACTGGATTTTGGGCAGAATTTGAATTCCATGTGGGTCACAGATTCACCTCATCCCCACCACTGCTGCCCTGCAGCTGCTGTGCCTGGAGAGCCCATGGGCTCCTTGCTCATGGGAAGCACCCTCTTCTCTCAAAATCCCGACTCCAAAATCACCTGAATCAGCTGCTTCTTTAGCCTTGCCCTCAACCTTCACCCCTGCTCTCCCCAGAGCAGTGCTAATCCCCACCCCCTTTTCCCTTCACCCTCTTTTAGTTCACACTTTTGCAGTGCAGAGGCCACAAAACACCACCTTTACAGCATAAACCCACCCAGCACTGCCACACCCTGCCACCAGACTTTTTCCTCAGCTCTGCATCCACGGGATGCTTTTAAAAACCTACTGAAAAGTCACAAAACAACAGCTGGTGCCTGCTGGAGCCCTGCTGACTCCTCTTCTGCTCTGCACCTTGACACAAACGTGCTGTGTCCACCTGCAACATCCTTCCTACTCTGGCCATTGTTCCTGCAGTTCCCTTAAACCATTTAATTGCTGTGGAGCTTCTGGGAGAGCAGGAGTGTAAAAGGCTCCTGAACTTGTAAAAGAGTGGTTTTCCTGAATTTCTTTCTGCTGTGCTGTTCAATGACAAACACGCCCTGGGCCTCTATTTAACCACACACAAGTACATCCTAAAGTTTCAGCTTTCCAAACCCAAACTTTCCATATGATCTGAAGGACACCATCACTTTATTTATGAACCAGCCCGGCCCAAGTAGAAAGTTTAGGTTTGGAAAGTTTGAAATAGCCCTTGATGGCACCATATGGGGCCAAGGAGCTTCATGGGGAAGGATGGACACCCCCTAAAGCAGAACAGCTTCTGTTTTGCTTTATCTGCCAGCCCTGAGAGTGCATTTAAACTTTTATCTCTCCACCAGAGGTTTCTACCCCATCCACTGTGCCACAGGCAAAATGACTTGTGTGACACCAAATTCAGTGGGAAGGCACTTCTGGTGGAAGTTCAGGAGAGAGGAAAGTATGGTTAGAATACTTTATATAGATATAAAAATATAAATATTTCATGTATCTGTGTGTAAAGAAAGATACATCTAGACTTTATACATCTATTTACATCGATATCAATATATACTCCAAGTTACATGAAGTCCTTTTTAGACCCTTCACCAAACTTGTAAGTGATTGTGCTTATAAAGGCAAAGTTAGATTTAGAGTTAAGCCAGCTTGGAGTAGTTATTCGTGCCAAAATAGTTCATGAAAAACTGATGACAGGACTTAAAAGTCACGAATAAAATAACAACAACAACAACAACAATAATAATAACAATAATAATAATAATAATAAAAAATTTTGCTGTTATTTTGGCAGCTCATGGTTCTTCTTGTTTTTGCTTGATGCCTTACTGGTTTGGGATGTCACTACAGAGCAACAAAGCAAAAGTCATATCTAGCAGGCTGGCTGCTCAGCTGGCAGGAAGCTCCACCACAGTTTGGAGGAAAAAAAGAAAACTTGGAGCATTATCAGTAAAACAGAGACTCTCCCTTTATCTTTAATGCAATATTTGCTCTGCAGACATGCAAAAACTTGCTTTAAAAGATAACTGTGACCTTTCATGAACCCAATTTCATTTTAGCAGGAGAGTTTCGTGCTTCTCTGTGAGTGTGAGATGTATCTATTAAATTCCTTTCAAAGGCCTTGCCTGACCTATTTATTTCTCAGTTGAGGGCCAAAATAGCTCAATATCAAATATCTGCAAGTACCTTAGCACTTTTGGAAGAGTGGAGCTGCTGGATCAAATCCTCATCTCAGTCACACTGGTTTGAAATGCAACAGGAGTCACATCATTATCTCTGGAAGGATGACAATGTTATATTATGACAAGAGCCTGCCTTGCTCTCAGGGCATGGAAAATGAGCATTTGAGTCCTGAATAAGTGAATATCATTGCAAATGGAGGTCTATCAGGAACAAAGACATGTATTTCTGCATTTAACACAGTATCCGTGTCCCAAACTTCATTAACCTGTAATTAAATCATTTAGGACCAAAAAACTGTATACAGTAGTTCAAAAGCATTAAAAGGGCCCTATGCAAGATTATTTTTGCTATGTAAATATATAAGTACTCCCTGAAGGGCCATATACCCTGAAGACTACAGGTTATTGATGCATCTACTTTATGAAGATGCTGCCCCATCTGCTGAACTGCTGGAACAAAACTTTTCTTGTGCTTGGGGACAAAACCCCATGAGTCAAACCCATAAGTCATTCCAGCAGAATGGACCCTCTGAACTGCTCAGGTTTCTGTCCCTGTTAATTCTGTAAATTAACCACAAACTCCTACTGTGTTTTTAAAGGGCACAAGGGCTTCTTGCAAAAGCACAGAGGAAAGAATGAACAGATGTGTTCAGAAGAATAGATGGGGGGTTTTGCAAGGTCACAGTCTCCTTTTTTCATGTGTAGAATCAGAGAATGTTTTGGGTTGGAAGGGACCTTAAAGATCATCCAGTTCCACCCCCTGCCATGGGCAGGGGCACCTTCCACCAGCCCAGGTTGCTCCAAGCCCTGTCCAACCTGGCCTTGGACACTTCCAAGGATCCAGGGCCTCCCCACCCTCACAGGGAACAATTTCTTCCTAAAATAGGACTTCTCTACAGAATGTCTCATATATGGCAAGAGACCAGAACCCAACCTCTGCTGGCTGTTCTCTTTGCTACCTGGCTGCTTTTCCTTGCTGCCTGGCTCATGTAACTCCAGTTCAGTGTCTGAGCTGGATCTCCACCTGGTCATCACTCCCTCATCACTGATTCCTCTCGTTTTAACCCTCGGCTTTGTCCCCTTCACATCTGCTGTTCCAAGACACCCCACATCCATCCTGAGCTCTTCTTTCAGGCCCTGGGCAAGCCCCCTGTCATCTGCTGATCTCCTCTGCCACATGAGCCTCTCTGCATTCATCTCTACTGCAGCTGCTTCAGCTCTGGCTGGACAACTGCCCATTGTCCAGGTAACTCTTCACTCATCTGTGTCTGAAAACAATCATAAAGAACTCTTAAACACCAAACTGCTTTTAACTGACCAGCAGTAACTCAGTGTTTTGCTGAGTGTTTATAAAAACCACAGGTCCTCTGTGGTTTCCAGTTCTGACTAAAAGCACCCACCACCAGTAACATCTAGAAAACTGCTCGGTTCCTTTTCATTTCCCTCTTGAGCACAGAATACTGCAAGATCATTAACCTAATAAATCATACATTAAAAAGTATCAGCAGTGTCTAAGGGTGCCCTAAAAACTGGCTGCAGTGGAGGAACCACTTCACACCCACCTGCAGCTCGTGGATGTGCTGGAGTGTGCACTGGCCATGGATTAAAGGATGCAGCACTCAGACTGAGTGCTGAGCAGCACCTGTACATGAATAAGTATCAGTGCAGAAGGCTGCCTTCTGTTTCAACTGGCAAACTGCTGCACAGCTTTTAAATTAAACAAACAAATGAAGAATAGAATAAAACATAAACAAAATCTGTCTTTCTCCAGCCAGGGTGGGCAAAGCAAGGCTTCTGGAGCAAGTCCCACCCTCTGCCAGGAGCAGACACAGCACTGAGGGAGGCACAGAATATCTTGGTCCTTGACACAGGGAAGGGAAACCACAGGGAAACCAAGCAGGAACAGCTGTGAGCCAATCCCTGGGTTTGGGATTCCCCAGAAGCCAACTTCTGGACTCAGGAGAGAAAGGAGTAAAAGACAGACTTCTGGATTATTTAATGATCATTTCAGCAAT